AACTCCACTCTCTCATTAATCTTCAATCTCTGTCTACTGATTGCTTTCCTGGTTCCTACAAATAAGACCACATTTCTGCACCCTTTCAAAAACCTTCACTTAATCTAACCATGCCTGCTAGCTATCATTCTATGTCTCTCCCCCCTTTTATGGCCAAACTCCTTTAAAAACGCTGCCTACAATTGGTGCCCCCCTTTCTGTCTTCTCACTTCCCCTATAATCCTTTTGCAGTGTATCTTCAGACTCATCATTTAACTGAAATTGCTCTCTCTAAAATTACCAAATCAAATGGCCTTTTCTCAATTCTAATAACTTCTAACTTCTCTGCAACCTTTGACACTATCATTCATTCACCCTTTTTTTTTTGGATATTCTTTCCTCTTAGGTTTTCACACCATTTTCTCCTGGTTTTCTTCCTACACGCCTTATCATTCTCAGTCTCTTTTACCTTCTTTTTAGGTCATATCCACTTTTAGGTCATATCAGCATGGGTGTTCCCCAAGACTCTGTCCTGGTCTCTCTTTTCTTTTCCCTCACAATTATCTCACTTGGTGTTCTTAATCAGCTTTCATTCAATTATCATCTTTACACAGATGATTCCCATTTATCCAGCCCTAACTTATTCTCTCCTGACTCCTAGGCTCACATCATTATCTACCTATTAAACATTTTGATTTGGATGCCCTATACACATCTGAAACTGAACAGGTCCAAAACAGAACTCATCATCTTGTCTCTCAAAACCTCTCTTTTTCCATACTCTCCTATTATACTCAGGAGTACCACTATCACTTCCAGTCACCAAGGTTCATAACTTCTGTGTCATCCTCAATTTCTTACTTGAACTCAACTCACAAATACAGTCTGTTGTCAAGTCTTATCATTTCTATAAAAATAACTGAAGATTTCTTAAACATAAGAACAACTTATACCTAATATCAACATTATAAAAATGAATCATTTTAAGGACTTTGTAAACCATGAAAAATGAAATAAGCAGAGCCAAGAGGACAATTACAATTCATACAATGATAACACTGTACAAACAACTTTGAAAGCTGTAAGAGCTATGATCAATAAAAAGGCCATTAATGATTCCAGAGGACTAATGATGAAACATACTATCCATTACAGAGAGGCAGTGGATTTAGGGATGTGGAATGACATATACACAAATATCTCTCTATCCATCTATCTATATTTGTGTACAGCCATTGAAAGAATTTGCATTGCTTGACCATGTGTATTTTCTATGAGAAACCTTATTTTTCTTTTCTTTTTCTCCCAATGGGATTGGACAGATGAGAGGGAGAGAAACTAGAGTTCTGCTAATTTTTAAAAATAGAGAAAGGGGTGCGTATGCCCCAGACATGAAATGTTGCATGAACATTCGAGAGGTCATTGTACATTAGTTTTACTTAACTGCTTTACTCCGTTACAAGAGACCTCTCATGAAGTGGGAGTAATCTGCAAATGCTTGTAATGTTTAAAAAACACATTAATAAAACTCAAAGTGTAAAAATGGGAAGGAAAAAGAAATCATGATGATGACAATGATGATAATGATGACAACGACAAAGAGCCCTATAACCAGATCATAGGGGGATCATATGAAGTTACACAGGAGGTTTTGCCTGGAGAAGAGAAGACTCAGAAGGGAGAATGATAACTATCTTCAAGTATCAAAGAACTGGAAACATTTTATTTGCTCCTACCAGTCAGAATCAGAAGCGAAAAGATAAAAGTTGAAAAGAAACAATTTTAAGATGAGAAAAAACTTTCTAATAATTAGAGCTATCCCAAATTAGAACGGGCTGACTCTAGAGGAAATAGGTTAATCCTTATTAGTGTTCTGCAAGCAGAGGCTGGATGATAAGTTGTGGGTTGTGTTGTTGTGATGATTCTTTTTAATGCTATGGAGGTGAGGGGAATGGGGCTAATGACCTCTGAGTTCTCTTCCAACTCTAAAATTCTGTGATTTTGTGATTTCTCAGTATACTTTTGACTCCTCTAATAGCCTACTTCAATACTTCAAAAGATCTGTGATTAGGGTACTCCCAGAACACATCACAACCTTTATATTCCACAGTAGATAATGTCATGAGTTACTATGGCCAATATATGCACACAGACATACACACACATTACCATCATCATCATGCCATCACTGGTGATAAGCCTCTTTCGCCAATCTAGCCTTTATTAAGCATGTACTATGGGCCAGGCCCTGTGCTAAGTGCTGGTGATACATTAAAAAAAAAACCACACACTCCTCAAAAAAGTTTTTCAAACAAGTCCCTGAATTAGCAGAAATTTTGCTAGGTTTGAAAATGATGTACTTCACTAGGATGGTACCTTGGCACCCAGAATAACCTCTAAGTCAATAATCTTGGAAAGGATTATGGATGCTATCCTGCTTATCAAAATTTTTTCCTAAACTCCTTAAATTTACAGACAAAGTAATTGCAACCCAGGGAGGTTAAATGTCTTTCCTAAGGTTATAATACAGAACTTAAATTTAGTTTTTATACCTCCAAATTCAGTGCTCTTCCTATTATCTTCCTTTATTCTATACTGTCATCCTTCATACAAATCATGTGGGGAAAACATGATGGGAACATGGACTTCAAAGAAAAGAGAGAGATGAAGAGAAGAGAATTGACTGAAGTCGTACTTGAGTTGCCATTCAACCTTCAGTCCAGAATAAATAGTTTGAGCTCAGATTTCTGGAAGAGCTATGTGGGTGTGAATCACTTCCATAGTTTAAGGGCAAAAGCAAGGACTTACAAATTCCCAGAAGGAAAATTATTGCTTTATTAAATTCCTAAAAGTCTCAAGATGTTGTACAAGCAAACCAAAATAAAAGAAATACTTTGAAAATTCTGTTTGGCAGGAAACCTACAAGCATCATGCATTGTCCACAAACAAACTAGTGCTATATATTTAAAATAGGATAGGAATGCCCCCTAAGTCGTAATGTTTTTGTAGAATGTTTACCTTTATTCTGAATTAATACAAATTACTATTTAAGTAGTATCACATACAAGCTGTTTTATGACAGAGTAATAATTATTGATTGATATTATAATATGAAGGCATGTTTTAGTTCCTGAAATTATATCAATGAAGTCCAAATCAAATATTTTTACCTCAACAGAATATTAAGTTCTGAATAGGATGAATTCAAATCTTCTGTAGTACCAAACACCTCCTATATAATTTAATAAAATATTACTTGATGTTCAAATATTCAATAGGACATTAAGTTCTGGCCTATAGGGATAAATGAAGAAAGAAAGGAACACTGGCACTCAATTTTACTGAGCTAAATCACGACCCTTTTTCCAAAAATGCCTTAAATACAGGGATAAAAAAATAAACCCAAGATTTATGAGTAATTATTTCCTGTAAGAAAGGGAATTCAGCAAATATATCTTAGGGAATGTCTCCAAAAAAGAGCTGGTTATGCCTGACTCTTTTTTTTTCTTTCTTTCCTTAAAAACAAAAACAACAAACAAAATACAAAAACAAAAACTGGGTGTCTTCTACCCAGGCTGGAATTGCAGTGGCTACTCACAGGCATGATCCCACTTGGGTGATTGCTCCATTTCTGACCTGGTCTGGTTCACACTTCCTTAAGCTGGCTGGTAGCTCCCAATTCCTGGGGGCTCAATATATTGGTGATATGACTTAGTAAAAGATTCATTTGGCTTTGGCACTACTGAAGCTCAAAACTACCAAACTCAAATTAGCCTCAGTCTCCCCAGTAATACAGCTATTGCCTAATTCTAACAAAACAAAAATGTACTGATTTAAATATAACACATTTTGACACACATGAAGAGTTTGTAATAGCAAAAAAGGAAATTATACTTGCTTGAATTTCTGATTGAATAATTATCTCTATAGCTTAATTGGAAGGAAACCAAACAATGAGGAGGCAGCCTGGTGTAATAGAAAAAGCACTGAATTTAGTCCGAGGACCTGGACCCTATACTTATACTGAGTAAGCCTAGGAAACTCATGACAACAGTTTCTTTATCTGTAGAATGAAGGTTGGACTAGATAACACGGAAGATCTTTTTGACCTCCAAATCTATTTTCCTAATGCTCTGTAAATGTGGTCAATAAATTTTCATTTTTACATGTTTTCAATATAAATTGTTTTTAACTTTCTACAAGTCTTGTTCCAACACTTCCTTGCAAAGTAGCATTGACCCTGACTCCTCAAAGCCCATGCCAGTGGAGTACAAATTCTAGCAGTTTCTACCAAGCCACAAAAGATTTGAGTATGGCATGGGGATTGTATGATTTGAGTAGCAGCTTAATTAGGGGAGGCTTGTCACCAAGTTGTCTGAGAGATACTGAATTTTTCCACTACACAGCAATTCTTAAAGCCTATCCATTAAATCAGAGAGGGTTTATAAACTGTACCAATAGAGGGAGAAGAAATATATAAATATAGATACACACATATGTGTTTTCATATATATATATATATATATGTGTGTGTGTGTGTGTGTGTGTGTGTAGTGTATGTATATATGTGTGTATGTATATATGTATGTATGTATGTGTGTATATTCTCCCTCTATAGGGAGTTTACATGTATGTGTGTGCATACACATACAAACATATACATATATAAACATGTTTATATATAAACATATGTGTGTGTATACATATCTTTACTTTTATACAGTATAAACACTATGTCTATATCCAGGAAATTAGAAATAAAAATATTTCCCACTAAAACCTTCTCACATAATGGAAAAAGTGGACAATCTACATTCATTTTTACTAGCATCTAGCATTTTTTCTTTACTGTATGATCCTTAGAACTCTTAAAAATGAAACCAAGTACCTACATTTTACTCCCAATAATTCAAATACATAATAAGATATAAATGCAGTATTTTACAAAGTGTATATTTGCTTTGGTATATCTTTATCTCCGCAAGGTTAACACTAAAGAGTTTTTTTTTTTTAACATTCACCTTTAGCTGCAGTGTCTTCTCTAAGTTTTCAATCTTCCTTTCAGCAGCTTTAAGCTTCTTGAGGTCCTCCGAGTCTTTAAAACACCTCTTTGGGGACAGAGACCTTGAACGTTTCACAGGTGGTTCCTCGAGAATAAAACAAGGACATGGTTGAACTAGTTGGAACACTGGATTATGAAAGACATGCAAAATTAAAGAACAAGTAATTTTGAATACTAATAATGAATTATAAAAAAATCCTGCATGGAATACCAGAGAAATAACAAGCAGAATTACCACAGTGCTACCGCTAAAGGTTTCTCTGTGACTCGTTAATGAGAATATTCATTTACATTTACATTGTTTCTTTCAGAATAATGATGTCCCATTAGGGAAGACTAAAGGGTTATAGACTCAGAAATGCAAGAAACCTCATTACAAAGGAGGGGATGGAGGCTGGTCTAATTGCTCTATAAGGGTCCAAGGTTACACTTGATAGGACAACCAGAAACAAGAGGGAAAGGATTTTTTTTCCCTTTGAAATAGTTTAACACACTGTGAAGTTGAAGGAACAATATGCTTGAGGAATATAAATACAACAGACAGTAGATCTTATACCATAATGACCATATGGTCTTTAACTATAATGTGGCTAACTAGAGACAAGAATATGTGTTTATATTATGTACAGCTTCATACAGCAATCTGGAGAAGGAATACATGAAAGCACCACTATTAAGCTGGGCAGCATCTTGTTCATACTGCATGTCCTCATGAAAAAAAGAAATAAAGTTCCATTCAGAATATTCCCTCTCATTTTTTAAATTTTTATGAGAAACAATGAACTAGCCAGAGGTATTTTTTCAACTTCAGTAACATACAAACAAGCTAAAATTATAAAACTCTGAATTAACATTTAAATGTATTTTATCATTATGGACTTGTCTATACTCAAAAAATGGCAAAAGCCAACTACTGTAGTTATGTCAAATGAACATTTTCTCAGAAAACTACAGCTTATTTTAGAATAAGCAAATAAAATGCCACCTTAGATCTCTGGGTCTAATAGCTATTATCTAGATTTTTGTTGAGCTTATAGGACAAATTTGCAAATGCTAAAAGCAGAAATTATTTGTATTAATAAACATCTTAATCTCATTGTTTTTATAGAAAAATGTATCATTATCAAAGTAATATATTTTGATTAAAATAATTAAGCAATACAAAACTGGAAGAGAAGCATTTTGAAACTCCTTATTTTGAGGAGAAAAAATAGTTTTATTAACTGATCCAGAGACAACATTTTTACAATGTAAGATTGTTACACTGATATTTTAATTAGATTAAAGTTTCTAATTATCTTTGAGGTAATGCCAACACACGCGATGATTACTTTAAAAGGAAAACAATGATAGGAACATTTTTACATGAGGAATTATACTATTCTAATTTCTCAATTTCTTCATTAATTACAATATAGAAGTTCCTCTTTGTATCTGTGATGAGGGGGAAGTTATTGAATATTATTTTACTATATGTAAATAGGGTAGGGAGGTAGAGAGAAGTTGTGATTTGATTTGTTTGGCAATTCCCTGGGAGGAAATGCCTTCTACCAATACAGATCAGCAATTGTTCAACAACCTATAATATTATGTTTCCTTGGACACTGAGTAGTTAAATGACTTGCCCAGTATCTCACAACCAGTTAGGTGCCAATGGCTGGGCTTGAAGCCAAGAGACTTCCTGACTCTAGGGCCAGCTCTATATCCACAAACTATACTACTTTTCAGATGTAAAATATGATATCTAAATGAAAGATTAGTTATTTTGATACTGCTTGTTTTTAAAATACAGATGACTTTCCTCTTATCTTGAGATCAAAGGTGTTGAACAGTTGAAATGAATGTATCAAGCTTGACCAGCATTACATCTACTACTGATTTTTAATATCAATAAAATGTATGATCACTTTTAGGGAAAAATAAGCATACGGGTCCTCAGTAAATTATATAAAACCTGATAAATATTAATTTTTAAATGTATAAATAAATGATCCTCTAAGTAATTTATGATATTTTAACAAAGTAAAACTCTCTACTTTCTACTTCAAACTGATTAGTTACTTTAGCGAGTCTTTAGAAATAATTCCTTTAAATAAGCTTTTCAAATAAGAAGTAGTAAATAAAAATTTGTTTTGTGGAGTTTTTTTGACCTTCCCCCAAGCAAAACTGTTTGACTGAAATCATCATGGCATATACACTATAGTAAAACTACTCTACCTCATGCATTCTTCCAGCTCCTGAGATGATGCTTCCTATGTGAATACTGGTAGAGGAATTCTCTGATAGTTTAAAATTTGCTATTTTCAATTTCTCCTGTAAAAAGTCAATTTCAGACTGTTGTGACACCATTAAGGTTTGTAGACTAGATAAGGATGACTGTTGAAAATCCTATAAAAATAATAGGTATCAAATTATTTTAAAATAATTCAAGCATTCAAATCAGTGGAAAGTTTAAAGAAGGCTCTACTTACTAACAATCCATTTTCCCCATTAGGTGCAAAGATTAAACAAAACTCTAATATTCCAAATGCAACATTTTCTCAGACCTAAGTTCTGTGTAAATAGTTTTCATAAATAATATCATCAAAGAGGTTTACAAACACATAAGAAGGAAAAATCAAGTGGAAAACACGTTTGCATTATCCATACAAGTAGGAATCATTTACAAATGATTTCCATTTCAAGTTCATGATTTAAAATTTAAGAATTTTCTACAAAATGTCAGTCTATTATCTGATTCTTATGAGTGACAAGTATAAGAATATAAATCCAGAAAATAAACCAATAGATTGTTACTCTACAACATACTGTAAAATTATTTTTAGTGAAATACTCTGCTCAATGTGTTATTTTAACATTTATTTTTCTGTTAGATAAACTACTTATAAGCCTCAAATCTTAATATAAATCTTTGAAAAAATTTTTACAGGAAACCTAACAATGCTTAGGGCATTCTCAACCAGTCATATCTGAGATCATTAAAACCCATGAACATATACTATTTCAATATTTTCCACTGACATTTATATCTCACAACATATTTATTGAGTGATCACAGAAAACAAAAAGATGAGTAGAACAAAAATTTCATTCCTTGCAAGAAAAAAAAAGCCTCATCCCTTGATTCTCTTATTATTAGGAATCCAATATTCATAAATTTGCATTTAATTAAAGGTTTGGCATATACCATAATTCTCAATTTTTATTTCTAAGGACCCTGATATAAAATATTCAATTCCTTTTGTGTCACTATTGAAAAATATCATTTATTTCTTACTTTGTTGACAAAATACTCTAAATTCTATGAGATCATTTCTTATGAGACCATTTTTGATTTATATTGTTAGAGTCTAAATCTCTCAAGGATACGAGCATGCCTGTTTCCCATAGCCTTGTAATTTAATAACCATTTTTCTCTCAATATTATTTATACAAGAGGCAGTGTTTTATAGTGGAAAGAGAACTGGACTTAGAAACAAGATCTACCTTTGATATATGGTGGCTGTGCGATCCTAGGTAAGTCAATTTATCTGTACTCTAGGTACTCTCTAACACTAAAAGTTGCCAAAAAAAAAGTAACAATTTTCATTGGTAATGAAAGCTTCCTCATACAGCATTCCACACACCAATGAAATCACAAGTCTAGTCACTATCCCTATTATTTATTTATACCTTGTTATGAAATGTTCACCACCGTTATTACTTTATTCCTAATTTGCTTTGTATATCAAATTATAAAGTCCTTGACATTCAAAGCCTTTTGATACCTTTCTAAATTATTTTCTCCCTTCTACTCAACTCATGCAAACCTCTATATTCCTTATTCTTGGATTTTTAAGTGCCACATACTGTGTTTGCAAATATTTCTCTACTTGCTGGTTTGCCAAGCTAAACAAATCTTATTTCTAAAAACATTTCTTTTATGTTAACCTTACTTGACATTTAACATTTCCAAACAGATCATGATCTACAGAGTGTTATTATCCTCATTATGTTAGCAAATAAATTTGAAATGACTTTTCTTGAGTCACACAAAAACCTGCAGTAAAACTGGAAAAATAAAACTTTTCACAATATATACATAAAATATATGACATATTACATATAGTGATTCTCCACGTTCTAAGATATAATTTTCATTCAAATAAAAAGCTTTTAATTCCTGCACTGAAGCTTCCTCTGAGATTTCATCATGGCAGATAAGTGACCTTGGGTTATACCACTGGGATACAGGCACTGGCAGTCTACAAATCTGTAAAGGTTTTAAGTACTAGGTGGGAATGGATTGTAGACCTGAAAGACTCATCAATAGAGTGGACACTGAAAATGATTTTTTTAGCAGCGCAATTCACAAAGAAAGTCTACTAAGACACGGAGAGTTTCCAAACTATATTAGTAGAGGAAATATTCATATGATATAAGTATGAGTTCTTCAAATATTAAAAAGTAAATAATAAAGCATATGAAGTTAAGACAGCCCAAATGCTACACTGGCATCCTTCCATGTTAAAAATAAAAAAAAAAATACAAAAAACAACCAAGAGTTCTTAACAGGGGTCTTTGAATTTCTTTAAAAAAATATTTCAATAACTATATTTCAATGTAATTGGTTTTCTTTATATTTCTATGTATTTTATTTTGTTCATTTTAAAACTTTATTCTGAGAAGGGGTCCACAGGCTTTATCAGAATGAAAAAGGAGTCCATGACACAAAAAAGGTTAAGAATCCCTGACCTAGAGGAAGAACCCAGCCTATTGGTAAATCCCCCAGTAGGAAATTTATAGCACAATATGGAAAAGAATCGCATAAGATAAAAAGGTATAAGTGGATTATGGTTCATAATGCAAGTACCCACCTTGATGAGATCAAAGCTCCACTAAAGCACCGCCATAAATGTGAAGACATGAGAATAATGAAAATGTAAACAGTAATTAAGAAGTCTGGGTTGTTCTTGTTGTTGTTGTTTTAATGTAACTGTGGGCTCTGTCAAATGAAAAAAACTGAGGATTGTGGATTGTGGATTTAAGCAGCATCTTATTCTAAAGACCTCATTAATGAAATCTCTAAATTGAAAAACAAGATGATTAAACAAGCTAAAATGTCCATATATAATAATCACAACAAATTTAGAACAAAAATTTTGAATGGATTGTTGCATTTCTCCCTTAAGAGCCGAAAGCCTAATTTATCTGGCATAGAGGTATAAGAAACAAAGAAAGCCAAATACTTTACCACTACTCAGTACTTTTTATTAATATAAAGAAAGAATAAATTATACCTTTATGTTATTAATTTTATCAAAAAGATGGTAAGCAAAGAAGATGTGATAGACAACATAAAAAATTAGAGTCCATTAAAATAGACTGGACAAGAATAACTACTGACATATAGTCATTTCACAATTAGCTGTACATTTACAAGTCACATAATTAACTAGTCAGAACAAAGGTCCAAATAAACATTTAACTAAAAGAATGAATGAAAATGAGGAAGTTATAGAGTGTGATTACAGCAGCTCCAGTTCAAGCCACTGAAACAAGCTATCAACTGAAAATGTAGAGAAGACGTTTCTATTATAAATTCTGGGAGAAATGTAACCAATTATGAAATTGTCACAATAAAGAGGAGACGCAAAGATCCCACAAATTACATCTTAGCCACTAAATGCTTAATGTCCTTACCAAACAGACACAAATCAAATCCAACCCTGGCTTACAGCACATTTGTAAAACACTACAGAAGAGAGTAGTTAAAAGATTAAAAGTAGTACCGCATTATAAAACAACAAAAAGTGGTTGATAAAAAATAACAATTCTGTGGAGATTTTTGCATGAACTCAGGTAAGACAGATTATACCAAAACAATTTAGATGAATTATAAGGAGAACAACAAATAGATGCAAAATGGAATAGATCTACTAGAATTTTTTACAGGACTCTAGATTCCCATTGACAACAATAACAGAATTCCCCCCCCCATTGTTTTTTATGATCATGAAGAAGTAAAAACTACTTATAAAAAGTGACTGGGAGGACTGCTGATTATGTCTAAGTACACACAAAAGATTAAGAGAAAAAAACCAATTTAAAATCAGTCAAAATTATCTCATGGAGGGTAGACTGAAGTCTTTCTTTATCCCTTTTAATGTTAGGTCTTTCCCTTTGAAATTATCTCCAAGTTTTCCTACATGTATATATCTTATTTGTACATAACTATTTGTATATTTCCTTGCCCTTCAACCATGAGATGTTTAAGAAAAAGGCCTGTTTTTGCCTTTCTTTGTTCTCTAGTGCTTAGCTTTGTTTCTGGCATGTAGCAGGGAATGCTTGGGTACCTAGGTGGCATAGTGGACAGAGTGCTGCACCTGGAGTCAGGAAGACTTCCTGAGTTCAAATTTGGCCTCAGATACTTACTAGCTGTATGACCCTGGGCAAGTCACTTAATCCTATCTGCCTGAGTTTTTTTATCTGCAAAATGAACTGAAGAAGGAAATGGCAAACTACAACAGTATCTTCGCCAACAAAACCCCAAAAGGGGTCACAAAGTGTCAGACACAACAAAAATGACAAGAACGACAATAAATGCTTGCTTTCTTAGCTTGACCTGAGAATATGAGAGATCATAAATGGGTATTTTCACTGAAAAAAAGGAAAAAGAAAAAAATTAGAAACTACTAACCAATATTCCTGTTATCTCAAGTTCATGCAACTTACATATTAGTTATCTAAGTAAATATTGAGGACAACTTTGATATAAACAAGAGGAGAAATGGGGCAGATTTTCATAGGAAATTTTGCACAGGAACCCTCAGAGAACCAAAGCATTTTGAGTTAGATGGAAACTTAGAGATCATCTATTCCATATTGCCTAATTTTGAAACCTGGAGAAGTTGATATTTGTTCAAAGTAACACAAATTATTAATATGTGAAAAATCCAGGATCCAAATCCAGCTCCTCAGAATTCAGATCACCACACATGAAGATGTTTTTCATGATGGTCCTGTACAAAAGGTCTCAATGAAAGAAAGATATACAGTCAATGGCAAAGTTTCTAAATCCTTCTATTCACAGATGACACTGTGACATGCTATCAAGTCCAGTACATGTTCCAGGCAAATCCATAATAATGCCCCTGGAGTTAACTGAATAAGGAAAGTTCAGGATAACATCAAGGTACTGAACCTGGGAGACTGGAATAATGGTGCTGTTTCCAAAGAAATTCAGAAGAGGGGTTGGTTTTTTGGAGGAATGAAAAAGCACTCTGTCAGAGATATACTGTGTTTGAGGGGCAAACAGTTTGAAACGTCCAACAGGCAGCTGTTGATGCAGGACTGGATTGCAGGAGAAAGACTTGAGATGGATTATAGATCTGACAGTCATCTGACCC